ATCTTTTTGGAAACCGGCCACAGTGACGTGGGCTGGAGCTGCTGGGAAATGGAGTCTGCCATGGGCCCAATCCAGCCCGCGGGCCGGACCTTGCCTACCCCTGCACTAGGGGCACTTAAGGGGTTGTAATGGGGCGCACTGTTAAGGAGAGATCACATCTTGGAATTCAGATATGCCAATCTGTTTCTTGCGTTACAGTGGAGGGGCTTGATGCTAGACCTCACTGTTTGTAGTTTCAGCTGTTAAACACTGGTGAATTTCACAGCACTTTTTCATTATTTGCCATACTTTTTTGTGCCAAATTGCTCTTCATCCCAGTAAGAGATTTATGCGGCCCTTCCTGATAGTAAGTCTTTTTATTTGAGTTACTAAAAATGACTTAAAATAAATCCCTAATATATAAACTTTAAGGAAAAAAATTAAAATTTTGGCCTTGAAACATCTCCAACCCTTCCTTATTCTATTGCATTTTTCACATGTCTAAATGGAAAATGTACCAAGGACTGGGGAAAGGAAGCAGAACCTTTTTTATATGATGTAAAATTATATCATAAAATGAGTCACTGTCTTGACAAAGCAATATTTGAGTAATTTAAAATTACTTCTGTCCTCTTCAATGAACGTTCATTGTCTTAAAGCATGTGGCTACGCTAAGATGGAAGATGTCTTCTGATTTCCTCCCCACCCCATTTCAATCTTTAGCCTTTCTTCTCTCATCTCTTGCAAATTTATCTTTAAGAGAATAATTATAACTAATCTCAGGCTCTCCCTGTAAGAATCAAATCATAGGTTTATTCCTTCATCTGGGATTGACACTTCTGAGTGAAATAGGTTGCTAATGTACTGGGTATTGTCTTCCTACAGCATACAGTTCCATAGACTCTTTAATGTATACCCGAGAAGGGAATAATTTAGCTAAAAATAGTTTTCTAGTGCAAGAAAAAAATATACAATGAAGTGGAAAGCCGAATACTTCCATCTTATAACTTCACACGATTGGTTTGCAGGGGGCTGTACAATCCATCTGTGATCACATCCTTCCAGGATCCTTTTTCTAGTGCATAGAAATGATGACTCATTTTATCTCAGCAGCTTCCTCCTGTGAAAGGTGAATGAAATGCTGGGGCGTTGCAGTCATCATTTTGATTGCTGGCTAAGTGGTCCTGTCCCTTGAAGCATCCATTGATTTGACTCTTCATTTGGCCCTGCAGCCAGCCGTCCCATAGCTAAACATTTTATTAATCTGTGCTGGAAATGCTGCCTTTCTCAGCTGAGGAGGACAGCAGCTAGGAGGGCCCAATATTGTCTTTCAAGCACACTTTCAGTGCAATTGAAAAATGCTTGTGTGCAGAGGCTGCCTATTTACATCATTCTTCCAGGATAGAGTCACTGTGTATGGTGGGGAATAGCTCATTCTGTGTCCTGTTCATGGTTTTGCATTCTGTGCAAGTGCTGTAGTTATACTCGCTTTCAGTACTCCCTTGTTGTAGACTGGGTGTGTAATTCCATTTCCTGTTGAGAGACCTGCTCTACAGCATGTTTTGAAGCAGAACGTGAGCAGAGATCTAGCTACCTCGAAAGCTGTAGTACTGCCAACCTGTTGGCCATAATTTCTGCTTGTGTGGCTGCTGAAATGCTATTAGGAAAACCGTATCTTGCACATGTAACTGACATAGCCCTGGTGCAGCCCTGGAGTTCAGCCCAGCAGGTTAATTGAATTTTGTTGTAAGGGTGTGAACAAGTTTTCAGCCAGCTGGCCAAATCAAATGGGAAACCAACCAAATATGGTGGAGGAAGAACTTGCAGAAAGCAGTTAAAAGGGACAGCATGTGAGTGGAGAGACGAGTGGGGGGATGGGAAGGGAAGGAGAGAGGTAGGAGACCGACCATACACAGAAGGGAGAGTGGGCAGACAGCACAAGGCAAGTGATCAAATGGGGGAAATCTTCATTTAATTTTTCCCCCACCATGTGTTCAGATGTGTTTTGCATATAGATCCTTAATTTTGTTAGACTGCAGTGAAGCTGTCTACTAGAAAGACACTTCAAACTGTGTGGTGGTGTTAATTAACCTTGTGGCCCGTTAAGCTGTTCAGCTGATTTCAGTCCAAGATTCTCTTAGTTTATTTGAATCATGAATCTGTTTCTGCAAATAGTCCCTGCATCCTTTTTTAGATGGCTGGATAAAGTATTCTGCAAATAAATAGTTAAACGTTAAAAGTAAAAAGCACAAAGACTGTCTTGCTCTGTATCAGGCTAAAATGTGTTTTCTTGTCTCTAGAACGCTTACATTTGGGATCTGGAAGCAACAACTTAAGTAGAGCAGAGCAATCACTCCTAGTCTTGATTTCATTTTTTATAACTGATCTTTGGAAGTATTACAATTCTGTGTCTGCAAATCATGTGGTATTTACCATATCAGGATGAGTTCATAGTGGCTAGAAACCTGCCCACCCATTGTTTCTGAGTCTAACCTGTCTTTTCTTCAGCAGGGAAATGGGAAAACTTGTGATTTTTCCTAAACAAGTGTATCTAGTTCTGACATGCCCCAATCACTGAGGCATGCTGATTCACTTTTTCTTTATACCAGTAGTTGGGTTTCTCTGCCATTCCAGCAAAGCAAGTCCCCCCCTCTGCAACAATAACCATTTTCTTGATTATTACTGGGTGAAATCAAAGAGCATTGCTTACTAGAAACATGGCATCCTGTGGCCTCAGCTACTCATAGCCGTTGGGCCTTGTGGGACCAGAGTCCTACCAGGGCTATGATTGTGGTCTATCCCTGAGAGCTGTTGCCATAAACTTAATACTGAAGACCCAAAAAGCAGTCTCGAACAGAGAAGTGCAGCTTAGATGGTTGGGGCTGCTACTCTCAGGAGTGGAGGAGATTTTTGTGTTACAGTGGTTGCAACTTGTTGAAATGTCTAGGTATGCTTTAGACATTCCATCTCTGGCTTTAAGGGAAGACATTAGCAAAGGAGAAATTTGGGGGCATGAATTTGGACTCTTGTGGGGTAGTCATACTCTTGGAAGTTTTAATAGCGTTGATCACAGAAGTGTGTCAGGGTATCTTGTCAATCCCAGATATTCCAAAAGGTGGTGAACAGTTTATAAGTAGGGACCTACCTAAGTTGTGCCAAGACAGGTTTTTTTGCAGCCTGCTCAATGCACGCAGAACCGATCTTGCAGCAGTCCCATCCCTCTCCTCTAATGGGTGGGGGGCGCCTTCACTCAGTCTACATTACTACAGCTTTTTTAAGTGGTCCTTTCCTTGTGCTGTTGATTTGTTTTGTCCTAACACTGGAGCGGGGGCTGTTGTGGAAGAAGTGAGTTGCTGCTGCATTTAAAAGACACTCGTTTGGATTGCTCAGTAGTAGGGGGTACACCAGTCAATATATTGGTTGTCTGTAAGATTGGCACTGATAAGATAAATTGTATTATCGGCTATTGGCTTTTTTGGTTGTTGTGGTCAATAATTATGGCCACGTGCCTGGAACACCCTGGCGAGTATAATCCAGTCCCCGTGCCCTGCTGCCAGCCTGAGCCTGTGGCAGACTACAGGTCCTAGCAAGCAGCAGGAGGGGGTGCCAGGGAGCAGTCACAGGGCACTGCATTCAGCATCAAAAGGACCATTACTGGCTGCTGCAATGACAATGTTGCATGTGCAATGGGGGTCTGAGCACCAGGGCTGCCACGGAGATATTGGACTGCACGCGGGTGGCTGGGGTAGGGCACAGTGTGAGGGATATTCTGTTCTGCTGGGCACCGGGAGCCTTTGCAAAAGTTGCTTCACCCCAGCGGCCATGGGAGCTCAGCTGTGTGGGGCCCATCAGTGGTGTGCTCGGGGGCTCCAAACATGCCTAGCATCACTGTCCACAGAAGGGTCTGCCCTGTCTGCCCAGGACAGCAGCATGGGCCTGTGCAGGTAGGAGCCATGAGTGAGGGGGCAACGTGTGGGAATAAGGCAGTCACCGCCTTCCTCATTGAGAGCCGGAGTAGGCAGGAGGCATGTGTGTTATAAATGCAAAACAAACAAACAAAGGTTTATTTGCGTCAGTAGTTTAAAATATCTTGCACTATTACTAAATATGAGTTATCAGATCAGCATTGGCCAATATGGTTGGTTAATCATTGGCTACTGGTATCAGCCAAGAAAATCTTTATCGATGCACCCCTGTTCAGAAGAGCTTGGAAGTAGTTAACAATATGCCTCAGACACAGGAATGTATGGTGCAGATGCCTCAGCCTTTTACATGTTCTCTGCTCCCCTGATTTGGTGACTTGTAACTTTTGAAGAAAACCAGCAGCTCTGGCTGGATATACTTATAATCCTTTCTTAGCAAATATAAGACATTTTGTTTCTGCTTAACTTCTGCCTCTTTTCTGACTTATCAAACTGAATTAAAAGAATATACAAATTTTATTTATCCTATTACAGTTGTGAATATTACATTGGTGTGGAGAGAGAAGTCATTCTCTCCATGACTGCACATCTGAGAAACTGTTTTAGACCTTAGTCCAGAATTGCTGCAAGGTCTAGTTTCTGGAAACAGTACTGGGGAGTTTAATGCTCAGCTCCACAACTGTCTGGTAATGAGGAACCCGAGGCCAGACCTTGGCAATATTTAGAGCACTTCAGTTTCCAGAGCCAAAGTTTGTCTTCACTGGCTTGCTCTAGTGGATTCATAGGTGCCAGAGTCTTTTATATTGAGAGGGTGGAGAAGCAAAGGAAAAAGGGGCTGCTTTGGTGAAGCTTAATACACTGAAACTGGTGGGAGAAAATGTCTGAAACGCTGTAGATGTTTACCTGAATCTTTCCCAAATCACACGGTCCAAGCAGTGGGCAGAAGGGGGAGCTTGTATTAAAAACACTAAGTGGCTAAATCTGGAAACAGAGCTAGGATTTATTGCTGTGTGGTACTATTTTTATAGCATGTTAAAGCTGTAGGCAAGTGGGGAAAATCCTTTGTCTTCTTAATTCTAATATTTTTTCCCCCCACAGGTATAGCCTTTACAGACCTCCCTGTAAGTACAACTATTTTCAGTATTTTAACTAAGGATGTCAGTTTAAGGGAGGGGGAAAAGTTACAGGGGTGTTTGATGTCTTCTGTTTTGTGTTATGTTCAAGCGGTAGCACATGTTCCTGAACAATGTATATTTCCTGCTTTACCTCTGCTGCCTCTGGATAGAATTGCTCCCTGTAATGTGGCTTCATAGTCTCATGTCTACATGTGTAGAGTCATCTTGTGCCCTGTTGGGATTGCAAGGGAAAAATATATAGGCTTGGTAGGATGTCATTTTTATCAGTAAATGTTGATAAACATTAATTTCACCTCATGCTCCACAGACTGACAAAAAGATATATCCATTGTTAATAAGCAAAATTTATAAAAAGAGAACATAAGAAAAATGATGGCTGATGAAGTGTGTGACAACAGGGGAAGCAGTCCTACAGAACTGTACTGACTGTATTTTGGACTGCAACTCCCAGAAACCCCAGGGCCAGGGACAGAATTTGCGCATAAACCAGCGTAAGTGATTGGAAACTGGTTCAGATCTGTAATACAATAGAAGTTCAGTGCCCATAAACTACTTTCAAAATGGCCGAAATTAAGATAAACCTGGATGGACGTAGTATCAGACTGAATTGATTTAGGTTAAATTTGTTTATTGAACCGCCCCAGATCCCCTCCAGATTCAAGTGAACTCACAGTCCCCCAGCATCCCAGGATGCTTTGCACCTCCCCCACAAACCCCTTTGCAAAGTCAGTGAGCTAGCCTTGGCCTAAACTGTCTGGTCCAGCAGAGCAGGGTGGTGTGTTCTAGTGCTCTTCAGCTTCTGGCCTGGGCCACTGCAGGCATGTGGCTGCATTTCCAGAATCAAAAGTGAATGGCTGTTCAAATGCTTATCAGGAAAATCTATGCAGCTTAGACTAACCTGCAAAGATTGAATCAATTCAGTCTCAGGCTTTTTGACTATCCAGGAGACAGGGAGCAAAAGAAGAAGTGACAAAGCAGACGGGGGAGCTACTGATGGCAGCTCTGCTGCTCAGCTGGCAGCAGTTCTACAGTAGTTATGTTTGCAGCTGGTGGTTAAACTGCACTTTAATAATAGTATATTGCCAGTCTGGGGTAAGAAAAAGGTTGGGAACCACTGGCTTAAAGTTCAGCTTACAAAAGCGCAATGACCACTGTAACATCTCACAACTTGTTGCCAGAAAGCACATTTGTTTGTTTACCATCCTTGACTCTAATGTCGTGTTGGCTTCCCCCTGCTCTCATCTGAGTACTATAGCAAGACAGGGAAATGGGCTAGGGAATGAGTATTGTAGAATGGTTAACTACTCTTTTGTTTTTTGGGCCATCTCATCCTCCCTCCCTCCCTCCACCATCTCCTGTATGCTCATTACAACTCCACAAATTTTCAGCAAGCCCTGTACTTGCCTTCTGTAACCAACTGCTAGAGTGAATCTGAGCAAGGCTTAGCTCTCTAGGATTTGATGGTCCCTTCTTTGTCTCTGCCAGTCTGGAGTGTATCAGTTGCTTTCAATTTTAGATCTTCTCTATGGCATTGTTTTAGCTACATCAGAGACTGTTAAAATGGTTGGCTAATCCTGAAAACCCAGCTGTCTCGATGATTAAGGGAGTCCAAATTTTGAGCATCATGTCTCTCATGATTCTCTGCTTGCTCACTGAATAGGCAATTCAAATATAACACATTAGGTTGGACAAAAAAAAATCATTATATATTGGCAAGGCATTTTCATTAGAAGCTGGAGTGTATACCAGTTCTACACTTGGAAGGAGCAGGGTGGACTATGTATGTTCAGAACATGCCATAAGCCTCCTCATGTACAGCAATAATAGGATTAAATATCCAACCCAAAGTCCCTCATTAGATATGCAGTTATACACCTGTGTCTCAGCAAAGGCTGTTTTGAGTTCTGTGTTTCAGTTAGTGCAGGGTTGCATTGCTCATTTCACAGATCACAAGGTGTTCCCTGAAGAACTCCTGCAGTGACCCTCCAGAATTAAAAGAATTCTCCTCCAGATTCTTCTCCAGAATGGGGAGATCTCAGAACAGCAACAGAGTCTTCCAATGCCTGAGGAGGAGTGTTTGTGGCCGAAAGATCGCAAAGAACTTTTTTTCCAAGTACTTAGTTAGTCTAATAAAAGATATCACATCTACCCAAAGAACCTTACCTGCCTATGTCCTTAGACCAACATGTCTACAACCAGCAACCCTGCAGTATGTGTTTAAGTAGTAATAACTAGTAGGGTGGGTAATTATTGGCTATAAGTGCCAAACTCCAGGAGGAACCCCTTGGTGGTTTGGAGACTGTGACCCAGAGCAAGGTGGTCATTGCTTTGAACAGTCCAATAGAACACTTTCCCTTACTGTTTTTGACGTTGCACCCAGACCACCTTGCTGCTAGTCACGTGGTGTGTTGTGCATGGCATCTATCTCTTCCAAGGAATTAATGCTCAGGGTAGAAACTCTGGGAAGGTAGGACTTCACTATGATCAGCATTAGAATTTTGTAGATTTCAGAGTTTTGAGGACAAACGAGACTTGGCAGTGGTGCAGACTGCCAGTTGAAAAGAGTGCTCCTTTCTACTGTGAGAATGTGATGGCCGCATCACACAGCCCTCATCCCCTTGCCTGTGACATGTCCAAAGCATATTGGCACTCAGCATGCATATATTTCATGCTTTAAATCAGAAGTGGCCAACCTGCAGCAGGAGTGCCACAAGTGGCACAGGCAACCTCTTTGTGTCACATGCAGAAGATCAAGGAGGGGACAGGCCCTTGCAGCAGCAGATAGGGCAAGAAGCAGAAGGGAGAACAGGAGGTTGGGCAGGGTAGAGAGCAGAAAGCAGATTGGGCAGAGGAAGGGTTTTGTAATGTCATTCCAGGAGGGTCCCTGGCTAATTTGTGGCACACCTGCTGAAAAGGTTGGCCTTCATTACTATATATTATTGACTTATTCCCTTCCACTCCTTTCATAGCCCTGAATGAACAAATGGAGAATTCTATGTTCCCACACTAGTGACTGTTGAGCAGATGATTACTCCTCAGTAAGTAGAGCTGGGGCAATTCTCATGCCCCTCTCTAAAGCTTAAGGCTGATTTGAAAATGAAGACTGCTTGTACAGTTATGGGGGTGGAGCCTTATATCTGCAAGGGGCAGTGACCAAAAATTGGTTCTAACACTTTCTCAGGAGAAGCAAAGATTAAAAATGGATTTATTTCAATTCCTGATTAGTGACAGGCAAGGTTTCAGCTCTTCTGATGCTTGACACCACTCGATATCACTCTTTTACTTACAAAGACAATTGTATATAAAACATAATCCTACATTTCAATGGGTTCCTCCTACTTATTCCTTCCATACAGTGTCAATAAATCCCAAGGTTTAGTTTCCTGCTCTTTCACCTTTGCCTTGGATCTGGTTTATCTCCTGATATAAACTTCTCTAGAATTCACTCAGGCATATTAGTATCTTTTTTGCTTATTGAGTGCATTCAGTCCTTTCTGAATAAATTCATTTTGTTTCTTTCCTTTTTTCGTCTGAATATCTTTATCTACAGATCATATCTCCTGCGGTGTGTACTCTTTGCCCGCATGCAGAATTTTTTTTTGGGTGGGGGGGGGAAGGCTTCTGTCAAAGACCTCTGCTTGGGCCACTAAGAGTCATCTTCCTTCCACTGAAATGAGATCATTGGGGCTTTTGTAGACAACAAAGATGCACCCATTTAACTGAAGGTGTGATGTTGAGCTGATGTTAGGGAAATTTGGTGCAACTTTGTGTGCCATTTATGTATGTCAGAGTAAATTCGGACGTAAGTTCATTTAGCTTATTCCTAATCGGTATAGCTCTGTGTGTACAGTAGGTCTTTCACCTTGGAGCTTTACTCCTTCAAATTTGGTAAACTCAATGTAGTGTATGACATGATACTATAGAGCAAAAATCTCCCTCTGTGGAGTGTTGCCTGGCATTTTATACTAAACGTTGTGTATGTTAATGTAAAGGATAAACAAGTGTTACATATCTGTCAGTGTAAGCCTAATAGTGACAGTGCTAGAAAGTTTCAGATGTAACTGATGCAAAGATGACACTTCTATTATGTGCCCCTTTTAGTAGCATCCTTTTATCTGCACCCATGGGTCTAAGCTTCCTTGATCATCAGAGTTCTGTCGGACCAGCTTATCTGCTGCTTTAGTGTCTGATGGCTTTTGCACCATTTTTTCTCCTGCCTTTGGTAGAGTGCTCACTCCTGCTTTCAGGGCAGTGTTCATGTTGGATAGATAGGTCATTACTATTCAGTCTCTCCTCAGTCAACACAGGCTTCAGAGTAAAACACATACTATTAACTTATAAAACATGCCACACATCAGAAGTAAAGTCTGGCAATATCCAGGGCAAAGTCTTTATCCAGTATGGGTTTAGGATTCATACCTACCTGAGTTAACTTGACTCAGACTGTGTGCCCTTTCAGAATTGTACCAAGGTGACGAAGAGCTAGCGTTTTGCCCAATAGCCTAGTGATTAGGCCACTTCATACATGAAAATGTGAGGTAGACTTCTAAGCCTTTCCCACCCTGAGAACTTGGAATTCACCTTTTCTGTTCTCAGGAAAGCAGCCTAACCTCTCAGCTATGGGCTGGGCCCAGCTGACTTATGACCTCTGGTCTTTTCTCCTAGAACTGTTTATATGTTTTATATGAAATAATTATGGGATAAAATGCAAAAACAACATTAGAGCCAGAGGCCAGAACCCAGAACTATAAGCCTCATTGAATTTACAGTTAGGCTTCCTCTTGCTTGATATCTTTCTGGCTCCATGGTTCTTGTACTTTGGCTGTTCATTGAGCCAACTTCAACAGGAGATGAAGAGTGCCATAAACATAGCCCAGACTAGAGCCTGGGGGTTAAGCCACTTTCCTGCAAAGTGGGAGATAAGACTTTAAACCTCAGACTGAAAAAGGTCTGAAACCCATATCTCCCACTTACTGGTTGATGGC